AAGGAATAAGTGAACATATAACATAAAACACCAGTCTCCATAATTCAGTAACCAGCTGCCTAGAACTGATCTATCAAAAACTCTCTCTGCCTCCATTTTGCTGAAATGTGTCTCCTGTACATATACATGTACAAATATATATTTGTACCATTTGAAAGTCAGATGTTTGTCCAGAGCTGCACTGACTAAGCTGGTAGAGCCTGGAGGAGCACACAGGTACTAGCAATTCGTTTGAGCCAGTCATATCTAAAGGACAGAGGAGCACAGCCATTACAAAGCAGTTTGAAGAGGGAATGATGGTGAGTACTTGCTGTCTCCTTTCAGCAGACAGAGCTGTCTGTAGTATGAAATTCCACATTTGAGCAAATTCTCTCTTTCTTTTAAGAGCCAAAATTTCCACGTGTCATCAACTGTGTACAGTTAAAGAACTATGGCATTTGACTCCAAAGTGCTCTCGCTGACTGCTGAAATTGTATTTCTATATGTTGGCACATCAATTTGGGTTCCTTTGATCTTGAAGTCACTCCAGATTCATCTGAAAATAGTCTTTTTGTTTTGGTTCCAAGTCAGATGTGAAATGTTAAAATCTTCCCTTCCAATGTCAAAAGACAATATATGAGTATACCCAAGAGCAGAATTTGACCCTCATCTTTTTCCGTAATTTTCACTACTGTACAAAAAAATACATATATTTTTTTTTCATTTTACTGCCAGCTCCTGAGTGTTACTGGTGATACTTTCAATATGGCTTTCAATAGCCATATGGCTTCTGAAACACTGATTTTTATGGCCTTCTTAGTAATCATTGTCTATGTCCTCCGAACCCTTCTCTCTCACAGCAGAAGCTTCTGACAATGTTAGAAATACTCTCCAAGTTGTGAAATATTCTTTTTGTGCTTCTATGTCCTTCCGCTTTTATACCATACCACTCATCTCTAAGACTCATCCCGGTCCCATTAAATTCAGTAGCAGCAGGATAAAGAGCCAGACATGTAACTTTTTCTTAGCTTCAGGTTTGTAATTTGAGGCTGCAGTTTAGAAGGGATGGGGGAAATAAAAACTAATCCAAAGAAAACACAGATTAAAATACACAGTAAGTGCAACTATATAAATAAAAAATAATTTCTACAACATACGTGAAATAAATAGCTGACAATCTAATAACATCTTGAACAAACACCGATTTCAGATAGATTCTTGTCTTCACAGATTTTTCAATCAAGTATCACTGAATCAGATGATTTCTAGATGTCGAAATGCTAGCTATAAATTTATCTAAATTAGAATCAAAGGGTTTAACAATCACAATAATTAAATTTGATTAAGGTATGAGGTATTGAAGTTAATTTGGTATTATGATAAGGAAAAGTTAAGCAAACAGTTTAATTTATGTGTAATGTGTCCCAAACAACCTCGCCAATTTCATGAAATATAGTGTTATATTTCTTGATGATCCTGGCAAGCATATGTAATTAAAAATAAAACTTAGCATCTATAGCCTTTCCTTTCTTCTCCTCCTTCCTAATATCTGCAGGTCCCAAGCCTGCAGACACATGCTTGTTTGAGGAGTCCTGCAGGCTTAGACAACTCACAAAATTAGTCTTGCTCATACGTACTGAAGTGTTTATAGCCTCAAACCCAAATCCCCAAGCTTGCAGTCCCAAAGAGGTGACTCCTCAAAACAAGAGAACTTTGGTATAAAGTATTTATTATTTTGAAATATAAATGTAAAGTTGCAGAAGGGAATTCTTATCTGAAAGACAAGATATTTCTAAAGAAAATATTAGGCACATGCATAGAAATAGTGGATGGGGATCATACAGAAATGAAAACTCGCTTCATTAACTGCCCAGAAAGAAATAACAAGTAAAATATAAAATAAAAAGCAACGTCTGGGGTAGTCAACACCAAATTACAAGTAAATAAATTGTTAATCAATAGTTTCATTGGAGAAAAAAAAATAATATCTCCAGCCTTTTTTCTCAACAGCAAAAGCTTTTTATATTCCTAATGTCAATTTTTTTTTTTTAAAGAAGGAAAATATGACTGTTACTATGGAGTAAATAAAAAAGAGGATTAACATTTATTTTTAAAATTCATAATTATTTAATAACTTTCATATTAACAGATGACAGAGTGATAAAGTGGCAGTATGCTGCTCTGACAAATTTTTTTTTTTTCCCTGATCCAACATTTTTTAACATTTAGCTTCCACTAACATAATGGAGTTATTTTTTCTTCCTACTTGGGTTACATTCATATGAAAAATTTATCCTAAACCTGTTTTTTGGTTCCTAACGTGCAGGAAACTTTCATTTGTCTGTGGCTGAGCCTAAACCTGGGGGGTTTTATGCATTTGAATTGCCCTTATGAAGCCAACAGGCTAGATCCTGCTTACATGTACTGGGGATAGGTTTGTGGGACAAAGCAATATGAATTTGACTGTTGTCAAAACATGCAATTAATCTTTGTTTTATCAGCTGCAGCAAGCTTTATGCACTTAATATCAGTAACCCCCCTGACCGCCTATACCAATAACGGCAGAGCAAAGTTTTAATTTTTTTCTTCCCTCTCTCCTTCATTATAAATTTGGTGGGGTTTTTTGTTGTTGGCTTTTTTTTTTTTTTTTTTTTTTTTTTTTTTTTTTTTTTTTTTTTTTTTCCCCCAAAGGATGCAAAGGAATAACACTCATAATTGTCAGTGCTAATTTCTACTCTGGCCACCCAAATGAATACTTTATCGGAAACAAGAATATGGCAAATTAGGTATGGAAAGGTAACTACATGCAGCCCTTACCCTCATGGGCTTGGCATCTCTATCACACCTGCCAGGCAGATATATCTTACCCCCCCCTCCAGTAACATACTCACACAGCAGACTGTTAGCTAAACATACACAAAGTTAAATTTTCTTTGAGGCTTACTGTTAGTAGGCAAACACATTTCTTAAGCAACTATTTAAAAACATCCTCCAGGTCTCCACTGCAGTGCTGCTTAACTCAAGACTAAATAAAACAAAGCTATTATAGAGATCCCTTCAAACAAGAAGCCAAGTCTGCACTCACCATGCATCCAGAGCTTCTCATTTGAAAAAGAGACTCCCAGAGTTTTTGGTATCTTTTTGATGTTTAAGTTTGCTTCTTATATTTTTAGCATTTGGTTTGCTTCAATTTTGTTCCTTCCCAACAGACAAGCAAGCACCAGCCTTGATGCCGGCCACCACAGCTCAGAGGGACTTCCCATGTTAAGAAACTTCTTGTGACTAAACATTAGGAACATTAAAGGTAAATATTCTAGTCTGATGCTGACCCAGAAGTTCTAAATCAGCAGAAGACATCCTCCTATCCCAGCCTCTTGCCTGTGGGATGCAGTGCCCAACTGCATTACACTGAGTCTGCCTTTCGGAGACCCAAATGGGCACTTCATTGCGCTCTGCTAGCATGATCTGCAGCTTACAGAGCTCTGTAGATCCATGATCTTTTTACTTGTTTCACTGAAAGGATATTCAAACGCCATGCTGCTCAGAGTTCCTAAAACTGACAGAAAGCAAATTGAGTGTTTTCCTTCTTGAAGTCCTTTCCCAAAATTCCATTTAGACTTCACTGTGGTTACTTTTTGAGAACCAGAGAAAGAATGCATCATACCAAGAACTGTTAGGTTCTGTACACAGTTATTCTGTAAGCTGATACTGAAGTGCTGATAAGTTTGGGAACTGTACGTAAAGTTAAAAAACAATGGCTTAAATTGTAAACTTACTGAGGTTGGACTCCCAAATTAGGTGGCAGGGAAGGGCAAGCCACTAAATAAAGGCATTTAAAATCAAGGAGCAACTGTTTGATGTGATGTCTGCGATAGAAGCACGTGCACAAGTCCACCTGTGAGAGTAACCAGTATTTTTAGCTCTATAATTAAGTCAATGGACATCATTAGGAAGAAGTGAACACTAAGGTAAGCAAGATTTGGCCAGTTCCCACGTACAGAAAAAAGTTCTTCACCAGTGACACTTTGTATACGTGCTCATGACTTCTCAGTCTGTGTGCCAGAGACATTACTGTCTGCTTCCAAATAAAAATCGTGACATGAAGTGATCACCAAAATAATTTTGACCTTCAAGGACAAATTAAAATAGAAAAAAAAAAAAAAAAAAAAAAAAAAAAGCAGCAAAAATTAATCTGCTGGTTTTCATGCGGAAATCTACATGACACCTATTCCTCTAAGTATAAAAAAATATATATGACTGTGCCTAAAGAGAAGACCGCTGATACACTGCTCTTCTCATCCACAACTTCACACCTGCCTACTCAATGCATGCAGCAAGCCTTAGTAAGAACTATACAAAACATCTGGTTCTGTACATAGATAGATGGATGGAAACAATGTACATGGCTACACACACACACAGAAATCGTGACAGCTGCTCCCTCATGTAGAGGAGGCCACTGAAGGGACCGATGTTACATCTATACTATTCCTTGTCAGTGAAAAACTGACCTTAATTTTTAGTGAGTTCTGGCTCAGCTTTGGTTAAATTATGTGAATGGCATGCACCTTATTAACACGTATGATCAACCATTTTCAAAGCAACTCACTGGAACAGTAACAGATTTGTGAAATCCCTTTTCATTATGACAATTTCACCATACAGGAGAACTATACTGCAGCATTCATGAGCAACTAAGAATTCTATTAACCTACCCAAAAGCCTTGTAAACAAGTAAGCAGAGGACAGATGCATTTGCTTCTATTTACTATTTTCAGTTACTATGCTTTTCCTATTTTTTAATGCACATAACACATGCCTATATATAACTCCCCAAACACAGAGTGCTACTGTACTGGTTCAAATCTGTACAAGAAATTCCTTTAGTAGGAATGAATCAAGAGACTGATTTAGTGCAGTAAAAGTGAAAAGCAATGAGCACTGTTTGATTGGGACAACATTAGCTAAAGTTTCACATTTGGACTACGGGGGAAGCGAGGAGGGGCACGTTTATGTGGTACCTGTGGGTTTCTATTGTAGTATTCAGTGGTGTTACACGATTCGGGGGGGTTAAACTGTGGTCTTTTGCAGATCAGAACACCTAAATTAAGGTGAAAAGAAAAAAAAAAAAGATGAAATGCAATAAATCTTATTTTATGCTTTCTTCCTTTTCAATTTCATCAGATTTTCTATTTTTTTTTCCTGATTGCTTTTGCTGCACATAATATATGCTTTGATTTAGACAGCAAATAAAATATCTAAATTGTGATGCTTCTCCTGTATGCAAGTATATACAAAATGAACAAAATAAATGAAGGGGATGAATATGCCTCAAAAGAAGAGGTCAAAGAAAAAATTTGGAGGAAAAAATTATCACTGTTGAACCAATACCTTCTACATACATGTTAAAAGAGTTTTGCTAGTGGTCTCTCTGTAGGGATATAGAACTGATCACGTAATCTTACGAACCATACAGGAAAGGTCTTATGCCAAAAGATACAGCAGGTTACAAAGGTTTCAGCACTCATCTTCATTTAGGAATCCTTATGCTTCTTCAAATAGAAGTACATGGCTACATTTTGTTTACTGACTGCTGAACTACAGGATCTCCATTCTCAGTTTGACAGCTGCATTAGACGTATATTTTTAAATCCCTCTAAATTAAGAAAGGTCTAGTTTGACTAAGAATAATCAGAGAAGGAAATAAGCAAGCAAGCTAATAGACAAGGCACCAGTGGTTTGCTCGATACAAGTTTGGAAGGTCTCTGTTTAGCTGCCAGACAATAACAGTTCGTAGTTTAAAAGAAATAAAAATTATAAATAAAAAATACCCCCCTGTCATTTTTTGACAATCTGAGCAGAAAGGGCCTGGAAAATCTCTTGGAGGACCTGGAAAACTCCTCTCATCCTCTGAATAGTCCCTCTGACTTGAAGCAGCTGTTGCACCATGGGGCAGCAGGTTATTAAAACCAGTATATCCATTGCTAATGGCCTTGCTGTGCACGTGGTTGGAGAACTGGTCGTATATGCCATCCTATAGAATCTACTCAAAATAATAGCTAACAGAAACATACAGAAACCAGCACCTTACAGAGAAGGCTTTAAGCTCTTTATCCCAGTTCTGCAGCTGGACAGTTGAAAGTGAAGTAAAGTTCTGCAAGAGCTTTATTTTCAATATGTCCAAGTGAAAAGGAGGGGGGGAAAAAAAATCTCAGATTTAATAACGCTAGACAAAAAGCTGCAAGCATCTGTTTCTGTGTGCAGCACTTACTGCTGCAAGCAGCCTGTTGTGGCCAGGCTAAGTCTGGTTAGAACACAGCTTGGAAAACAAAGCACCCAACTTGGGATGGGAAACCTTTGCTGAATCAGGATATAGTTATTTCACTTAAGAAGCAGCTGCTAGGTTCACAAATAACATGCAAAGCTTTGTATCACAACAGGCTGCTGGAAAATAGAGCCAGCCATAAACTTTTTCCCTGGCTACATGGTTAAATTTGGGGGTGAAAAAAATGAATGCAAGTTGCATAAATGCAGGCAACCACAGGTCAGTAAACAATTCTAAAAGGTGTTCTTGACTCCGTAAGCTGTGATATAACAAGATGGACTGCTCTGTACTTCACTATAATTAACATAGAATGGGTCTCAAAAAGTTGGAAAAAAAATCGTGAAATGAAATATAATTTTCCTAGCGTGAAGTAAAACCTGTGTATCAGTAAACCATCTTTAACTTCTTTGCAAAACTTTCATCCAGCAAGAACAGGTCCACGTTTTGCCTTTACTGTTCCTACTACGGATTTGCATGCACATGTGTGTACGTACACATCCATTTGTGCACCCACAAAATAGTCTGCATGCACATACAGAGGCCTGCACTTTCAAAAATATGAAATAAGAAAAGCAGAAGAATAAAATAAAAAAAAAATGCATCTGCATAATTGTAATAGGTTAAACTTCTTCTGCAGATTTTTAAGTTTTATGTAAAAAAAAAAAATTGTCATTGTTTTTCTTACTAATTTTACTTCTGAAAACAAAAGCAGAAAGCATTAACAAAATGAGAGGGGAAATGCTGATTTCCAGTTTTATAGGCTTGGTTGCATCTCATTCAGTTTGGCCAGTGGAAAAAAATATATATTAAAAAAATAATAATCAATTGTTCATCCTCCTGTCCTTGCTGTTCTATCTCCTTGCCCTCACGTACTAAAACTAATCAGTTGCATTTGGCTATCTGACATAAAATATAAAATACTTTAAATGCTAAATATATATATATTAATTACTTTTTTTTTTTTTAATGTTCTTTCTCACAAATATACTTAAAAAAAAAAAACAAGGGAGAAACGTGAGGTTTTAGGAAGTAATTGCTATAGGTCCTTCATGCTGATCTTCAGGGCTTTTCGGCATAACACCCTGTACACTGCAAGCCAACAAGCAGAGCTCCCACACGGCTTCAGCTCAGTGCTGTTGCACCCTGAGCTTCTATGTCACACTATACCCAAGTAATTCATCCTCTTAAAACAGCCTAAAGATGAAGGTGTGTGTGACCTGTGGGTACATGGACAACAATAGGGCAGGGTGCAAATCAGTACCATAGATTTGGGATTTTTTTTTAATTCTTTTTTTGCCTCAGGTTTTCTTTTTTGGTTCAGTCAGGCAGGTTGGCATTCTGCTACAACTACATGACAAAAAAAAAAAAAAATAGTGCATAAAAACATACAAATGCAGCCAATTATTTAGAAAACTCTATAAGAAAGTGTAGAACACAAACTAAAAAATATATATATATTCCCACTGTTGCATATCAGGTCCTTCATTCCCCATCTTGCTTGCCCAGGCTCATCACGAAGCAGGGAGCACAAAGTCCCTCTATGCTTTGCATTTTCTGTGCTGTCTGTGACGTGCTGCAGGTGGGTAATCCATTTGTAATCTGCTATACTACCTGCAACATTCACACCAATGCCGTGCAACAGGCACAGCGGCACACGCCACACTGATTTACCTACAGAGAAGCTAAGGCAAAGAACCTCAGCAACAAACTCAGCAGTGGAGGAGGAGATTTTTTTCACACTTACATTGTCAAACCCTGACATCTGTTTCCTCTGCTCCGTGGTGACCCTCATGACTGTCCCCATGCCAGCAGACAGTGGCCAACCCAGCCAGTGATCACATCTTCTGGACCAGCCAGCCAGGCTCAGGCCATCCCTCTGCCTTCTGCCCTCACTTCTCAGTTTGTCTACCAAGTTCACCAGGAGAGCTCATCTTGTGCCCTGAAGGAAACGAGGTGGGAGGAGCAGGGCAGCAGGGGAATCAGCTGAGGGCCCACTCCAAAACAGGTGTCTATAGGCAGGGATGAAAATCTGAGAGACAAAATGGAAGGAAAAGAGAGAGATTGTGCACGTGCCTGAGCAAAGTAAAGGAGAAGAAGAAAGAACTAAACAGAAACAAGAAGGAAACTGGATTATTTTTTTTTTTAAAGGTGGGGAGAAATAAGAACTGTCTTGCCACATTCAGATCATTAATTGCATGGAGTCATTTTTCTACCTGTGCTGCAACATATTTTCCCAGCAGATGTTCCTGTAAACGTGAGGTGGGTGAATGAAGAGCGCTGCTCTGTGGAGGGCGAGTCTAAGGACCAACAGCAGGCAGATTTTTTTAAAGCCTACGTGCCACTCTGCTAATTCATGTCTTTTTCTGGCTTCTTAAATCCTGATTTGGAAGGGAAAAGAAAGTTACCAGATATGTTGTCAAATACCAGTGTACCCAATGCAACCTCATCTCTCCATGCACTTCAGCAGGCCTCTCTCATCTTTCATTTTACCTTCTCAAGAGGAAAACCAATTCCTCTTCCAGCCTGGAACCCTCCCCAGCCCCGTGCATGAGACGAGCAAGGAACCACACCAGCCAGTCTACAACAGCTCTGAGCACCATGCCCTGGTGGGGAGACCTTTCCTGCACCACCTGTGCTAGGGACATACCAACAAACAGCAGAGCTGTACCGAAATTAACAGTGATTATCTGAGCTACGTCGGCCAACGTGTGGGCATAGCCTGGGACTTCTAACACGTGTATCCAGATTTTTTCCCATTCTTATAACAGAATAACGGCTTGTGTGCATTCACCCTCCACTGCTCCTATTGGTTCTCTCTTCATTTAAATCCCTGCCCACTTCTAATGCGATTAAACATAACATAGACACACGTGTTGAAAATCAACTAAAATGTGGCAATGTAATTAAAGAGATATAGAAAGGAAACCAGAAAGCGTTAGAGCTTTGGCTCCTCAGTGTGCCACTGCAGTTGTGGGTGGCTATGCCAGACGTGCAGAGTGTTAAAAAGTCACCAGCCAGGTCTTCCAAGCAGGGAAAGGCAAGGGCATCAAAGCATTTCCCTTTGGATGCTCGCAGCTCTTGGTGTTTACATTAAATTAGAATTGCCGACTACATATTCCATATATTGAGGTTAAACAACCGGCTGAGTGTGGCTGTTGGCCACTTCTCCCCAACCTTCTCCTAATTAACTGCCCTTCCTTGTCTTTACTCCTCCTGTGGGAAATGCTGATATTTTTTCTAGATCGGATACTATGTGCCATTCACTCAGTGCAAGATCTAATATGCTCTCTTTTGGACCACTTTTTCATTTGCCTTCTTTTACCTTCGCTGAAGGTGGATGCCGATGTGGGCACTGATGTACATCTGTACATTTGGACTCTAACTCAATGAGCTGCACATCAGCACACGTTGTTGGTTTTTTTTTTCAGTGCTCATCCCAATTCCTCTGTTGGAAAATATCCCGATTTGCTTCAGCAAAGCTCAGGAGTGTGGAGGGCCCTGATTCAGGAGTCCTTTCTGCCTCCCACACCGATCTGGTGGATCACGCGAGGGCAGATAATTCAAGGAGGGAAAATGGAAGAATCACATTCTTTAAGAACTAGATATAATTTCTCCACAGCAGTTTCCTTTTTTTTTTTTCTTCAACCATTCACTCATTTTGAATACATGTCATTTAAAACTATAACATTTTCAGAGTTTTTTTTCAAATTCCCCTTTACAGAAAGGCTTGTTCACAACCTGAAAATGTTCAGGTTTCCCACGTGGTGGAATCTCATCTGCTCAGGCAGAAGCCCATGATAGCTTACGTTATTTAGCATGGCATTATCCCAAGCTGTTTGCTTCCAGCTCACTGAAAATAAGGGATGACGGAACACATTTTGCTGGACACACCCCGCCTTTATACTTAGTAAACTGTTCCCTATATTTTCAGCCAAGAAAGTCGGGTTACTCTGAACCCTCTTGCTTTCTTTTCTCACTGGAATGGCCACTTCCAGCTGGGGAAAAAGCTGACTATCCCCTCTCAAAGCCACCGGTGGGTAGCGAGGTGGCCAACTTGGTAAGCCCACCTCCTGAGACACCGAACCGCGGTGACACGGCCAGGAGCACAGGTGGAAAAGAGGCATCTGTCAAATTCAGAGGACGAGCACTGGAGATGGAGGACGTGGTGTGGAGGCTACTGCCACCAGCATAGCATCACACAAACACGGGGCTCACGCTTCGCCTCTGCCTGGACTCCAGGCAATCACCTCTTCCCTCCTGAGGAGGTTCCTGCTGCATCCCAGTGACCAGCACAGGCACTATCTGCGTGTCACTGTGTGCCTCGTCATCCTGCTCATGGCTTGGCCTCTGGCCACCCACACGGGGACAGGAGCACTCATGGGGAGCCACCTGAGTCGCACGGAGCCACAGGAAGCGGACGGTGTGTGCTGACCCCAGGGATTCTCCTGAGGCAGCGGAGCTATGCTGTGAGTGAGGCTCGTGTCATGCTGTTAGCGTGACGCATTTCTCCACATGCAAATGCCATAATTAGTCAAGCATCTTCTATTGTCCTTCCAAACCCAGCCTAACGACAGCACCAAATACGCTATGAAATAAAAGTGGCACTTCTTACTTTTAAGTGGGGATTCAGATTTTCACAGGAATGGCTTTTGCAACTCTCTTCTACAAATTAGGAAGCTTGACTACCTGTAATTAAAATAAAACACTAAAAAAAACCACAACAACTTTATGTACACATACTTATGTATTGCGTCAACATGTATGCAAGCACGTGTGTGCGGCCAACCCTGTGCCTTGTGTTCTGTTCTCAGAGGTTCTTGGTCACTTACGTGGAAAAATCGTCTGTATTTAAATCAGCTGCAACTTCCTCTCCTCTCTGTTCCAAACAATGTCTACTGATGCTGCTGCAGGTCCACATGCATCTCTTCCCTGAGAATTGATTGTATTTACCAAAGAATGCTGAAGCGAAAGAGCACAAGCCTCACTTCAGCCTTTCTCTGTCAGTCTGGCTGCTCTGGTGCTCCTCTCTGAAGTTTCATCACTCTACACTCCATATTTTCCCCCGAACTGCTTACTGTGTCTGCTGTAACACAAATCTGCTGAAGTTTTCTACCACCTCTACAGCTAATTAGGCTTCATCAGGGTTTTCACTCTTACGCTCCCTGCTGTAGATAAATGCAGTGGCAGCTAGGCGTGCTGCAAGAGCTGCTGACTGCATTACAAGTTTGCAGAGCAGTGCCAGTGGTCATGCTAACAGGTAATAATCATAACAGGAAGGTTTTAGCAAAAAACTTGTGTGTGTATTGCCAGTGAGTTAACAAACGCTGCTTGGCATTCCCTAAGACCCTCCTGGAATACAAGAGAGAAAAGGAAAAAAAAAAAAAAAAAAATAGAGAGAGAGAGAGAGAAGCACTAACTTCTTATCATTTTGAGAGAAAAAAAGAAAGAACAGCACCAAAACGAGCATAGCCCCACTAAAGCTGGAGTGTAACTAACAGTATTGGCAAAAGAGACGTTTGTGGAAAAAAACCTTGCAAAACCTATATCTGAAAACTACTATCCAGCAAGTGCATAAGTATTAAAAACTATGCAAACAACCACCACAGAACGTGCCTGAAAATGTAACAGTAAAGATAAAAGTTAACTTCTGAGTGTCCCGTATTAGAGTGGTCTCTGCAGCCAGAAGTGAGGTGGCAGCATACCAAAATGCTCACGCAAATATGAGATCCAAACGTGTTTGTGGCAAAAGATTTGAAAGAGAAAGAATGAGAACCGACGTGTGGATGATCTGTAAAAGACCTGAATGCTAATAAAAATTAGGGGAGGGAGGCAAGAGGGGAGGGTAATGGTGTTAATCATTATTTCATGAGGCCCGTACTCACAAATCAATTTTTTACAGATGGTTGGAGGTATTTCTTAGTCCTTCACTGACAGGAATATAGGAGGCTCCGAGGCCTTAAGCAGCAATTCTATTCATAGGCCCTTAGCCTTTACATAATTGTATTAAGTGCAGTAACAGACGTAAATTAACGCATGCTGACCCCACGCTCCTAGCAAAGTCTGCCGTGACCTTTCCGAAAACCTTAAGAGCAGTAGTGGTTTAATATCTGATACGATCTCTTTGAGGGGAGATTGGATGCTGCTAAGGAGATGCTGCATGCCAGAGGACCTAACAGGCCTTTCCATCCTGCACGACGAGGAGCCGCTCTCCTGCCTCCTTTTCAATAAGCAGCCTGTCTATGTTGGCGGTGAGCAAGCTGACATGAAGCACTGCAAAGCTGAGGGGTGCCTTAGAAGTGCATGGCTTGTGCCACGCAGAAGCCAAGCCAGCCCCCCACCTCTGGGGGCATCCATCCTCCTGGCAGCTGTGAGGGACAACGTCATTGTTGGTTTACAGCAAACTGCACAAAAAACCCGAGAGTCTTCCAGAAATTGGGTGCCAAAATAAACCAACGGAGATGGACTTCTCATTAAAGGCTTTCCTGCGTATCATAGCTACTCACATAATAAAATTCAAAATATTGTAAATATTGTAAAGAGTTTTTTTCTAGTTAGTTATCTATAAACTTTTAATGTTATAACAGGAGTATATTCCCCCTTCCTCTACTGTCCACATTCGGAAACAGGATTGTAAGGCTGCCACCAAACAGACCGAAGTGGCATACATTCCTCTGCCTCACTGGGAGGAGGGCTCCTTATTTCTAAGGCACTGCTGGTAATTGCTTTGCCTCTCCTTCTCCTACCTCACGGCTGCAGTGGTAGCCAGAGAACTGCAGAGCTGTGTCAGAGATCATGGACGTGAGAAGGAAAAAAAAAAACAACAAGCCTACACGACTACATCTACGAGAGCAGCATATGTTGGACGGCACATGCAATTCTGGAGCAGAAGAGAATGTAACTAATAAATAAAGAAGGAAAGATAACGCGAAAATGGAAATTTTAACCCAAGCCTTCTAACTTTTCCCTTCCCCACCTGCTCACAACGATAGGTTCTCTTGAAATCAGTGTGACAGCGTAGCAGGGACACCTAACTTCTGCTGATTTCCCTTCCTTTGGGGCCTCCTCTGCTCACCCTCTCTCTATCCTGCTTGTGGCCGGGCCACATTCGGCCAGGAGTGGGCAGCTGGATCTGGAGGGGCTGCCTGTGCCTTCCCAGTGCTGCTGCAGTGCGGGCTGTCGCTTGGACTGGGGTCAAAGGGGAGAGGTAGGCCTGGCCGCCCCTGGCCGTGTTCCCCAACCTCCCCTGCCGGGACTGGGCCGAGGGGAGCCCGGTGCGGCGCTGCTCTCACCTGGTGCGGGCTGCTGCTCCCGCGGCGCCACGGCTTCCTCGGCCCCGACGGCACGGCCACACCTGAGGGGAAGGGCAGAGAGAAAGGAGGGTTAGCAGGCGGAGGCAGCGGCCTCGCACCTCGCACACGCACGGGCACACACACGCTGCCACACGTGGGGCGCAGCCTGCAGCCGGCTCCCTGACGGCAGCCCCGACGCTCCAAGGTGAAGGCGCGTTCCTGTCTCCGCGGGGTACATGCGAGCTCTGCTCCAGCTGCAGCCCCGAGGGCAGGGAACTCCGGCCCGGGGAATCCCGCAGAAACGTCGAGGGAGACCAGCCCAGTCCCGGGAGCCTCGGCTGGAGGAGGAGGCCGCAATACTGCAGTGCGGAGGAGACGGGGCCTCCCTCAGGGCGGCCCCGACGGGGTGGAAGCGGAGGGGGTCTGTTCTGCAGGGCAGGGGCGGCGGCGAGCCGGGACGACGGCCGCGGGTCGCTGTGCTGCCGCGTTTGGGAACCTTTGGGGAAGAAGGCGACGGGAGGGAAAGCCGGTACGGGCGGGGGAAGCGCCCCGCGGGGCAGCGGCGTCGGGAGCCGGGCCGGGAGCTGCCCCCGAGCAGAGAGGAGCGGCCAACGCCACCGCCCCAGCAGCAGCGGTCCTCAGCATGGCAGCAACAGTTGGCTGCCAAGGTAGAGAGACGTGGAGCCGGCGAGGCTGCAGCTCCACTCGCTCTCGAGCTGCCCCCCCACTCAGACCACCCCTGGTTTCAGTCCTCTAAGGGGTGAGGCAGGAAGAAGAGGGGGTGCTGCTTTAGCCTCAGCTTGGCTGATTCCTCTCATCACTTCTTTTTTTTTTTTTTTTTTTTTTTTTTTTTTCCCAAGTTACCTCTAGTACCTTGTCTCTCCCTTTAAAATATGCTCACATGAATAAAACCCCTGCAAGAAGGTTTGCTGGCTAGTGGGAAGGACAAACACTTTTTTTTTTCTTAAATAGGAGAGGATAAATTATTATGAAAATGCAAGTCTACTTGAAAGATATCGTGACCCTTCCACCTCTGTTTTCATCAAGGCAGCTACTGCTCGAGCTACGTGTCCTGAACGAGAAGGAAGGGAGGAAGGGGAGCGACAAGGTGCTTTTCCTTTGCCTCCTTTCCCTGCTCACCCCTTCGACAGCCTTTTACTCTTTTCTAAAGTGCAGGCAGGTCTTCAAAATCTCTTTTATCTCTTGAGAAATATTAACTCTTAGCCCCGACCGTGGTCCTCGCCCGATCTCTCCACTGCAGGCTTCCCTGAACTGCCAGCTCAGCCCTTTCCCGGCGGATCTCCCTCCGTGCCTGCGGCAGGGCAGCGAGGAGGAGAGCATTGCCGGCTCCGGGCAGCCCCGACGGTCGCTCGCCCCCCCACCCCTTTTTCTTTCCCAGACGGTGGAACCATAGGCCCCTGTGTCGCGTCGAGCGGCTGCTCCGCTCCCAACTTGCTGCTCAGCTCTTGTCTCTTTCACGAGGCTGATCGGCACGGACAGAAACGCTTTTAATCTCTCGCTCTTTTGGGGGGCGGCAGGCAGGGAGGGGCTCTTTTTGTTGTTTATTTCTTGCCTACGGAACCGGGCTGGTAATTACTGCAAAGGGAGGGAGAATGCAGCTTCCCCAACAACTGCCTGAGATGCTCTCAGAGCTGTGTGCACGCACAAGGCAGTTTCAGAACCAGAAAGCTGGTGCTGATGCTGCTCTGCTCGCTCGCAATCACCTCGTCCAAAAGCGGAGCCTCGGCGGGGTTTTCCCCGGATTCCGCCTGTTTTACCCTTTTCGGGGGCACTAGCTTTTAGGGAAAGAGTGATCGGGGCGATCGCCGGGCTGCAAGTTGCTCAAAATCGGGTTGGAAGTGGGCAGGGGGAGGGAGGCGCCTTTGGCAGCGCCTGCCTGGTGCAGCTCCCGCGAACTGGGGGCTCCCCCAAACCGCCGCGGCTCCGCGCGCCTCCCCCTCTCCTCCCTCCCTATTATTTATGGGGCGATCCCGGCAAATCCCACCCTCCCCACCTCGGAAGAAGCCGAGGCTCCCGATTACGGAGCGTTTAATGAATCGCTCCGAAGATTTTTTTTTCTTTTTTTATTTTTTTCTTTTTTTTTTTTTTTTTCTTATGAATTGATCTCGCCCAGCCAGGACTCCCGTATTTTTTAAATACGGAGATGCCCTGGCGGGAGGGGAGGGGGAGAAAGGTGAGGGGCGGAGAACTTTTCGGAAGTTTTATTCTATTTTTATTTTTCCATTAATGAAATAAAAGCGACCATACAGTTATCCGAATCAAGGTGTGATCTGCTCCGATAGGCAAAAGTCGATTAAAAAGTTCGGCGAGAAGCGGCGGTGGGTGCCTGGCCGCCCGGGGGGACCGAGCGGGATGGGAAGGGGGAAAGGGTGTTTATTTCTGCCACTACATCGCTCCTTCTATCTCTACACACAGATATATACGCACAGCACGGAGGGGTGGGGGGGTGGGAGAGGGGGGGGGGGCTGGATGGGGAAGAGGGAGAGGTGCCAGGAATTAATAATAAAAGCCCACAGAGTCTAGGTAAGTCCAAGGCTCGGCGATCGCAGCTGCTGCTCCTTCGGCGAATGCGCCCTCCGCGAATGCTTTTTGGGGTAAGGGCTTCCCGGGTAGGCAGTTATGTACAGCAAGCCCAGACCGCAAAAAGATTCGCGAAGGACAAAGTCTGCCGCTGCTTCCCACATCCATCGGCCGGCCGCCGCCACACCATCCAGCGGACCCACGGGCGATCGCTCCGCCATCCCCGCCACGCTGGGTCCCCACCCCCATCCCCACCGAGCGCCGCTCCGAGCCCCGCGGCCCCGGGCGAGGCGAGGCAGGGCGAGGCGGCGGGGGGGGCCGTCACCCCCCGGCGGGGCCGGGGCCGCGGGAGCGTGGCGGAGCGCGGCGTGTCCGCGGCCCCGCTCCGCGCGGAGGCTCCGGCGCTGGGCACAGGCGCTGCGTAAAGAGAAAACTCTTCCCCCTGAGCGCTAAATAAATAGAGAGCAGGCGGGCAGCTCATTGGTGCGGGCTAAAATCGTCACCCACCAATCAGGCGGCGCCTCACATTGCCTATTTCTGCCTTTTTTTTTTTTTTTTTCTTTTTTTTTTTTTTCTTCCCGAAAGGGGGAGAGGCGGGAGAGAGGAGGGGGAGAGCGAGAAGGGGGAAAAAAAATAAAAAAAAAATAAAAGGAAGCATCTCCGTGGCTAATTATTCGCCAAATCCACGACCACGGCGCGTTCGAGAGCGCGGCCGGGACCCCTCAGCCCTCTCCTCGTCATCCCTGCCCTACCCTGCCCGAGGGGCTCCGCGGAGGCACGCAGCCGCCCCGCCGTCGGGGGACCCCGCTGCGGAGCCGCCGCTCGCCCCGACGGGGGCGCCCCGGGCCGCCGCCACCTCGCGGCGGGCAGCCGGGGACACGGGGACCTGCGGCGGGCGCTCGGCACGGCAGCGTGCCGCCCCCGGTCCCGGGCAGCCCCCGGGGGCGACTCTCCCGGGGCGGGAAAGGGGAGCCCGGGACGCCGCCTCCCCTTGCACCGCCCGAGGTCGCGAGCCTCCGTCCCCCGCCGCCAGCGGGAACGGGGACGTCCAGTTCCGAAAAGTTTCCGGGACGCGGCACCCAACTCCGGAGCTCCCCGCTGCCAGCCCCGCGGGAAGAGAGCGGCCCGACGGTGCCTGCGGGCGGCGGCGGAAAGGCGAACGCGCGCCCACGCCGCGTCCCGCCGGGCTCACGCGCGACACGGGGAAGGGAGACCCGCGGGGCTCGGGGGGGAACCTCGCACCTCGGCCGCAACTCAGAAGTTGGCGGTTCGCCCCGCTCCTCAGAAGGGACCCGCGAGCGGCGCCGCCGCCTGCCCCGAGCGCCCCGCGCCCCCCGGCCCCGTTAGCCGAGCTGCGGAGCGGCGGGCAGGGCGGCGGCACGGGGCGGCGGAGCCCGGTACTTACCTGGCGCTGCCTCCCGGCCGCTTCGGCGGTCCCGCGCCGCGTGCCCGATCACCAAGCACTGTTTTTTTTTTTTTTTTGGTTTTTTGTTGTTGTTGTTGTTGTTTTTTTAGAAAGCCCAAAAGCGAAGCGTCCCTTCCTCCAGGTATGTATATAAGTTACTGTACTGTGTGGGAGGGTCACGATCTCGCTAGGTGCAGAAGATTCCCCGGGATTAACCCCTCCTCTCCCTTCCCTTCCTGCAACTTGTTGAGGATGGCACCGCGCGCGCACGCGGAGCGGCACACGGCCGCACGCGCACACACGCGGAGCGCGGCGCGGGAGCGGTCCGGTGCCCCCGACGGCGCGGTGATTGGCCGCGCTGCTCGTGGAGAAGGGGACGTCTCAAGTCGAAGTCACGATTTCTCCTCAGTTTGGAACCATCTGTGACTGGAGCCATGACGCAGCCAGAGCACATTACTCACTTTTACAGTCACGACTTGGAAATCCGTGCAGTTTCCAACCAAAATTACACCGCCACCATTGAATTATTTAATAGGATCCAGTTAAGGGTAATCTCATGCATTGTGCCGGAGAGCGGCGGTCGGGAGGGGAGGGCTGGGAGGCGGGGGGCAGAGGGAGGGCACTGCTGGGCTCTAATCGCTGTTTCACAGAGCCACTGTTTCCGAGTTCCGACGATTGGCTGCACGTGCTGTAAGGGCTTTTTTCCTTTAAACCCCAACCAAACAAACCGGGAACGGATCGGTTTGTAAATACGACCACGCGCGCTCGGGAAAGGGACGGTTCGGTTCCTACATTCAGGGCGCCCGTGGGCGGAGTGCCGCGGTGCGGCTCCGCGGGGCTCGGCGCGAGGAGCGGCGCTTTGTGTGCCCGCGGCCGCGGCCGCAGCGCGGCATTGTCTGCAGGATCCGCCGGCGGTGCCGGGCTTTGTGCGGTAGGTGCACCATTTTCTAAGCTCGCTCGTACCGTGAGGCGACGGCTAAGCGCGCACAGCGGGAGCTGCCGCCGCGGCTATTGTCTGCCTGTACCTCTCCCACCCCTGCAGGGCTCTGGCTGCGGCGGAGCCTCCTCCCTTCTCGGCGGCTCCGGAGCGGTGCCGCGATGCGGGGAGGGCAGGGGCT